ATTCTCTGTTTGGCTTAGTTTTTCGGATCTTTGTTGTGGAGGGACGGCGTGGTGCTTCTGCCTAGACCGCCATCTTGCCGGAGTCTCCCCACCTTCTTTTGATACTTCCTGTGTCATTCAATATTTTGCCCATAAATTTTACTAGGGTCTAATATATTCCAGCCTATAACCTTCAGCTATATTAAAATCTATAGATTGATATAGATATATATGGGGAGAAACATTATATAAAATTTTCTCAAACATTTAATTTAGTAAACATTTGTGTTGAGTGCGAACCACTATGTACCATAGTATAACCATAGGTATAAGGTGCCATATGTATACATATGTAGTATGCCTTATGTAATGCACCATATATATAGGTACCATATGTGTGTACCAGATGTCTATCATATAACAACTATTACAAATTTCAGCAAAATATTGTAACAATAAGTTCAAAGGGGCAATTAAAAAGATTATTAGTAATATTTTTAAGCTGAACTCTTTCAGTGAAACAGAGCTACTGATTGAAACAACTCACGCATTTGCTGACAGTGCTTAGAGAAGAGGCTAATGAGTCAATGCTAATAATTTAGCAGAGTAGAAAGTCAATCAACAAACATTTATGCTGGGCTAGGCAATAGCCAGTGTAAAGAAGGAATCTATGGTTTATAAATAGGTCTAAAGAAACTAAATACCATATCTAAGAGGACACAGTAATAATTACAGAATCCCCAGATATACACCTTCATCTACATCTATATCTATAATCTTTGTCCATCTACTATAAGAGATATTTGTAAACACAGAGATAACAGGTAAGGTCAAGTCCTATCTATTTCCACTATTCTATTGAGTTGATTCCACTAGTTAGCTTCAAACCATCCTCTAAATGGGGAAGAAAAAATAGTTATAGGATAATAAAAAAAATAGATTAAAAGACTAGACTAAACTGACACTTGTAGAGTTCTTTATGTTTTATAAAGCACTTTCACACACATTCTCTGAAGTTATTTAATAGTTGCCTATATGTGGTTCGCATTGTACAAGTATTGCTATAACTAAAAAAGGATTTAGAATTAGTTTCTTTAAAGTAAGCTGCCAAATTACAAATGGTTTTCACATTCATTTCTATTAAGTACATTGGCCAGATGTCTATATGTGTATATTACATTTGTCTAACACTTTACAGTTTAAATGGACATTTAACAAAATACACTGAAATTGTGCTAGTAGGTGTACAAAGTGCTGAGACAAGAAAGGAATATTTGATTGTGCTAGATGTATAGATCTCTGGTGGAGCAGTGGTTAAGAACTCAGCTGCTAACCAAAAGGTCAGCGGTTCAAATTCACCAGCCACTCCTTGGAAGTGCTACAGGGCAGTTCCACTGTGTCCTATAGGGTTGCTATGAGTGGGAATTGACTCGACAGCAATGAGTTTTCTTGGTTTTTAGATGTATAGAGGTATGGATGTTGTCAAGCATGTTCAAAAGAACATCTTTGAGGAATATCTTTCTTACTGAATAGGTACACAGAGATAAAGGAGCTCTGGTAGTGCAACGGTTAAGCGCTTGGCTGCTAACAGAAGGTTGGTGGTTGGAACCCACCCAGCTGCTCCGTGGGAGAAGGACCTGGTGATCTGCTCCTGAAAAGATTACAGATTAAGGATTATTTCTAGGACTCTATCCTAAAGTAAGAAGGAGCTCTGGTGGCACAATGGTTATGCACTTGGCTGTTAACTGAAAGGTCAGCAGTTTGAACTTACCAGCTGCTCCCTGGGAAGTAGGGACTATTTATGGGAGACACACCCAAACATCTATGTCCTTTGCTAGTCCTGTTGAATTGACTCCTTAATAGGTTCATATATAGGTTGGAACTTGGTTGAAAAAGATGGAGGTGGCCACCCGTAAGTCTCAAAACCATCAGAGGAGAGAACATATGTACAGGTATTGAGTCATGTGGTTTGTTACAGGAAGTCAGGTAACTAGAGTGCTGTGTGTAAGTGTGGGGATGGCAGGGGTAGGGCAGGGTGTATGTGAGGTAGGCTGAGTCCAGTTCATGACTGCAGGTGCTGCTTATATATTAATACAGACAATAGAGCACACAAGGGCCACAGTCAGGGCAACTTCTTAGACATAAATAACCAAACGCCTCGTGGGATGAAATTCCTAGGTTTGAAGGCCAAGGACCATAGACTTGGGGGACATCTACGTCAATGGACACAACGAATTCGTAAAGACAATGTTCTGCATCCTACTTTAGCGATAGCGTCTGGGGTCTTAAAAGCTTGCAAGCGACCATGTAAGATATAATTGTTGGTCTTTCACTGTCTGAAGCAAAGGAGAGTAAAAAAAAACCCAAAGACTTAAGGGAGCAATTAGTCCAAAGGACTAAGGGACCACATGAACCGCAGCCTACCCGACCCTGAGACCAGAAGAACTAAATGGTGCCCGGCTACCACTACCAACTGCTCTGACTGGGATCACAACAGAGGGTCCTGGACAGAGCAGGAGGAAAATTGTAGAACAAAAAGTCAAATTCACAAAAAACACCAGACTTACTGGTCTGACAGAAACTGGAGGAACCCCTGAGGCTTGACCCTAAGACACCCTTTTAAACTGGACTTGAAGCTATTCCCAGAGACCACCTTTCAGCCAAACCATAGACAGGCCCATAAAATAAACAATAACACTCGAGAGGAACGTGCTCCTTAGAACAATCAATTATACGAGATCAAAAGGGCAACATTTGCCCAAAAGCAAAGATGAGAAGGCAGGAAGGGGTAGAAAATCAGGATGAAAGGAAACGGGGAAACTAAGACGGAAATGGGGAGAGTACTGACACATCGAGTGGGATGAAACCAACGTCATGGAACGCTTTATGTACGAACTATCAGATGGGAAACTAATCTGCTCTGCAAACTTTTCACCTAACGCACAATAAAACAAAAAGAAAGAAAGAAGGAAAAGGTTGGTGGTTTGAACTTACCTACAGGAAACCCTGGTGGTATAGTGGTTAAGAGTTTGGCTGCTAACCAAAAGGTTAGCAGTTTGAATCTACCAGCTGCTCCTTGGAAACCCTATGGAGCAGTTCTACTCTGTCCTATAGGGTCACTATGAATTGGAATTGACTCAATGGCAACAGGTTTGTTTTGGTTTTAAGAGGTGGCTTGGAAGAAAGGCCTAGTGAGAGGCAGTCTGTTTCCGAAAGGTCACAGCTTTGAAAATCCTATGGAGCAGTTTTACTCTGCAAGATGTGAAATCATCATGAATTGAAATACACTCCATGGCGATTTTGTTTTGTTTTGTTATTTTTTTAATTTAACCCCCTATAATGTGAAAAAGTTTTATGCATAAAGTTTATTACAGTATTGCTTTTAATAGGGAAAAATGGAAACAAACTTCAGTCTAACAATTGCAAAACAAGTTATTGTATATATTCTCTCTGTGAGGTATTTAATATGTTGTCATTAAGATTATGATTATAAAGATAACAATAAAACCAAAAACCAAACCCTTTGCTGTCTAGTCCAACTCATGGCTACCCCATGCGTTACAGAGTAGAACTGCTCCATAGGGTTTTCCTGGATGAAATCTTTAGAGAAGCAGATCACCAGGCCTTTCTTCTGTGGTACACTGCTGGGCGGGTTCGAAATGCCAAGCTTCAAGTTAGTGGTCAATCGCAAATTGTTTGTGCCACCTAGGGACCAAGATAATGTGATACTACAGGGAAATGCTTATATTAATATAGTAAAGAAAAAAAAAGATACAAAATTAAACATAGAATATGATTATAATTTATTGGTGAGGGGGGGAGCGTCTCCAGTTAAGTGTTTGTAGGGAGTAATAAGACACTTCTTCTTTCTTTTGTCTTTACCCTTCTGTGTATTTTCCGAATTTTTCGTGATTAAATAATTTACACAACAAATACTTATTAAGTGCCTACTCTGTGCCAGGCACTGCTCTAGGAACTGAGGTGAACAAAACACAAATCGCTGTCCTCACGGAAAATAAGACTGCCTTGGTCAGGTCTGGGAATCTAATTCTAAGGAAAGGAAATAATATTGATACTGTATCTACTTTATGAAAGAGCCTGGGTGGCGCAAGCTGTGTTTGATCCTCTGCTAACCTAAAGGCTGGTAGTTAGAACCCACCCAGAGGCTCAGCAGAAGAAAGGCCTGGAGATCTGCACCTTAAAAATTCCAGCCAAGAAAACTCTATGGAGCAGTTCTATTCTGTAACACATGGTGTAGCCATGAGTCAGAATCTACTAGAAGGCAAAGAGTTATCTACTTTACGAGCCAAAGGGGAAGGTATTCTTTTAGGTAGAAGGATGACAGGTAGAATTCGGAGTTTGTCAATCTAGTAAGAGACGCAAAGAGCTGGGAGCCGCCGGCCTGTGCGACGCTGCAGGCAGAGCAGGGTGGGTGGGTTTAGGTTGGGGGTGGAGACCGAGGTGAAGAGAATCACGTGACTCAAGGGGCGGGAGGAGGAGGAGAGAGAAAAAGCGGCGTTTGGCTCGGCACCATCTTTCCAGAAAGGCGGGCGGAGCCGAAAACCAAACATCTTCGGAGCGATTCGGGGCGGGACAGACGGGAGCTGACTTGGCTCCCAGAGCCCATGCTTTCGGCCGAGTTGGTTTTTTGGTTGTCGGGCCCAGTGGCAAGGCGGTCTGCGGTCGGGCTGCGACTCGCGGAGCAATGGCGACCTTTGTGAGCGAGCTGGAAGCGGCCAAGAAGAACTTGAGCGAGGCCCTGGGAGACAACGTGAAACAGTAAGAGCTGCCCGGACGCGGCCTCCGGGTCTCCGCCTGGGTCCTCTCCTGGCTTCGGGCGGTCGAGACGCCCCCCCGCCAGCGCCCCGAGGCCTGTACAGCCTTGCGTCCCTGCCGGCAGGGCCTCCGGGTTTCTCGAGCCCAGGCCGGGCAGGCGACCCGCACTCACACCCCCAGAGGGGCCAGGTCTCCCTGGTGCCCTCTCGGACCCTGGCGGGGCGGGAGAAGCGTGCTTCACGCCAAGAGGCTTGTTTAGCGGATGCGCGCCCGGCGCCGGGCTGCCAGACCCGCGAGGCCGGCCGGGGCCCAGTGACCAGGAGCCCGACGCGCCCAGGCCGGAGTGGGCAGCGCGCAGGGCGGCCAGCCCCGAGAGGACTTCCTGGAGGCGGAGGGTTTAGGCAGGCCTTGAAGGGCGGGAGGGGAGTTTCTACTGACCGGGGAAAGTGCAAGGTGCATAGTGAATATATTAATTGAGCTCACGTGATATACTAGGCACTATCGGTGGCTGTGAGTCGGAATTGACGGCAGTGGGTTTGGTTTGGTTTTGGTAATTGCAAAGAGCAATGACAGCGCTCTCGGAAGGCAGAAAGACTCGTGTTAAAGTAAGTCTTCGAACGCTGCTAAAATAATAGTGGGATAGCTCACATTTACTTAACACCTTTTAAACACTCAATGAATTATCTCATCCTCACAACAGAGATGTGAAGTTGGTACAATTATCCCCATTTGACACAGCCAGGATTGGAACCCACACTTTCTGATTCCTGACTCAGATGCCTCGTAGGGGCTCTACAGGACCCCAGAGGCACCTAACCAAACCATCACCTAGCGGGGGACCGAGTACGAAATCAGGTCAGATGCTGAATGGCCCAGTGTAAGAGCAATATTCAGCCAATGCCCAAGCCAATTAATACCATAGAAGGAACCTCAGAGTAACAAGAACGAGTTTGAAATTTTTCAAAACATTAATTGTTATTGCAATTTTAATTTTCAAAATTTTAGAAAGCAAATTTTAAGCACTTAAAACTATAATGCCTGTGTTTTTGCTGTTAGGTGCCTTCTGTGGGTTTCTGGACATTTGGAATACTACAATAGATGCTTATTTTCAAATGAGGTTGGTGGGGGAGCAACGTGTTTGGGGGATGCTTTATTTTTCTCCAACACTTCTTTTCATATTCTTTCTTTGCTTTGTATTCTTTATTATGACTAGATTGAAGTTACTTAGTTTGGAAGTCTAGTGTGATTTTTGGAGTTTTTCCTTGGGAGATTTTGGGGTGGCAGAGTTGACATCTTGCTCTTCATCCTAACAAGATACGCAGAATTCCCACCTAGGGTAGTCGTGGCCTAAATGGAATACTAAACAATAAATACAATTCTTAAAGGTTGTTTTAATATTATAAACACTAATAAATCAAGCTTGTACAAAGACTAGAATTAAAGTCTAATCTGTTATTCTCTCATAATTATTTAGTTTTTTAGAAACATTTATTGACTCTCAAAGGATATAATGTTCTGCCTGAAGAGCCCCGGTTGCGCAGTGGTTAAGAGCTTGGCTGCTAACCAAAAGGTCGGCAGTTTGAATCCACCAGCTGCTCCTTAGAAACCCTGTGGGGCAGTTCTGCTCTGTCCTGTAGGGTTGCTATGAGTTGGAATTGACTCGATGGCAATGGGATAAAGTTATCTTTTAATATTCGTGTTTCCAAACAGTCTATTTCCTTGCTTATTTAATGAATTAAAAATTATTAATTATTTTAATATGTAAAATTGGCAACTTTTACTTTTCTTAATTACTGTAGCTTTTTATTTTTGTAATACTGATGGTATTTCCAATTTTAAGGACAAATAGGTGTTTTTCACTGTTACGTCTGTTATGCTTACCAAATATTTGAAAGTGAGTACTTAGTACTACAGTAAATCTGAAGGACATGTCTTGTGTGTGCAAATGACTTTAACCCTGATTAAATGCAGTGGTGACCTCTGTGATCCCCCTGCTCATCAGTCACACACAGGTTTAGAGAAGCCAGAAATGTTGAAGTTGCCCACTCTTCAGTCATTAAAGACCAAAACTGACTAGCAGATGTTGGTCAAATACCAGTGGTGAAGCAGAATTTGGGGCATCTGTAGTGTGAATCCCTACTAACAGCGCTATCAAAATAGGCCTTTGTACCAGGAGCAGTTAATGGTACAGTATTGTTCTGTGTTCCGTTCTTTCGTTGATTTTTTTTCTCTTTTCTGTTCTTAAAAATGCCTCTTGATTGAACAGTCTGTAATATTGCTATACAGTCATTTCTCACATTTTCCTTAAATGTGGTCATTGGTGGTAGGTGCAACGCATAAGGCATATAAGGAGCCAGAATGTGAGTTGTGTGTTATTTATCCAGCTGTCTGAGTGTCCTTTATGCCTCACTGTGTCACTTTGTGTGCCTGTGTCAGCTTCCAGAAAGACAGCTAGCAAATAGCTAATTCACTTTGTATATAGTACCCAGTAGAGCCCTGGTGGCACAGTGGTTAAGAGCTATGGCGTGCTAAGGCTGCTAACCAAAAGGTCGGCAGTTTGAATCCACCAGCTGCTCCTTGGAAACCCTATGGGGCAGTTCTGCTCTGTCCTAGAGGGTTGCTATGAGTCAGAATCAATTCGATGGCAGTGGGTCGTTTTGGTTTTAAAGGTACTAAATAATTTTTCGATAACTTGGTCATATCTCCAATGCTTCCTAGATGTAGTATGACCCACTTACACTCCTCTCCCATCACCCTCATCTTCACATAGGTAGACCAGCTCCGTTTTGGTTTTGTTGAGGAAAACAGCCATTTGTGTGTTAACACAAGGACCAGGATTGGGGAGTAAGTCTTCCAACTGTTGTTAGGCAGCTTTGACCATTTGGCTGTTTCCTCCAGAAAGTTTGCTGTTGGAGAAAGTAGCATTATTTTGGCAGGACTTCCTGGCAGAACCTTGTCATTGTTCTGGAACAAGTTCACATATCCCAAATATGGCTGCATATCTTTTTTGTAAAATAGTGACACAAACCAAAAAACTAAACCAAACCCGTTGCCGTCGAGTCGATTCTAACTCAAGCAACCCTACAGGACAGAGTAGAACTGCCCCATAGAGTTTCCAAGGAGTGGCTGGTGGGTTTGAACTGCCGGCCTTTTGGTTAGCAGCCAGGCTGTTAACTGCTGTGCTGCAAGGACTCCATAGTGACACAGGGATTTTAAATAATAAATTTTCTCTCCTGTTCCTATCCCCTTTTGTTGAACAGAATGGGTTGGGAAAACACCTTTGTTTTTTGTGACACTATTTTATTTTATTCTATAATTGTTCTTGTTCTTAAACAAAAACACAGAAGTGTCCACTTTAGTGGAAGTTATTGCCTGATGAGTGTCTGAATATCAGGGGAGAAGTGGTGCTGAGCTCTACAGCTAAACATGTTTTGCTGTTGAGTGAAATCAGCCTGAAAGATGGAAAGATGGCAGTTCTGTGGGTCTTGGGTCCATAAAGCTATGGAGTTTCTTCCTAAAATAATGCACATGAAACCAAAGTTTTGCATAAGTTAACACACATACTTAGCCAATTTTATCCATCCGTACATGCATACATAGCCAGTTATATACATATGTGCATACAAAGATGACCTGAAGCTAATCCAGGTACGTATAGGAGAAGCCCTGCTGTGGGTTGTAAAAAAGCAACAAAAACCAGTTGCCTTCAGACATGGTGACTCCACGTGTGTCAGAGTAGAACTGTGCTCCACAGGGTTTTCAATGGTTGATTTTTTTGGAAGTAGATCATTAGGCCTTTCTTCCAAGGTGCCTCTGGGTAGACTTGAACCTCCAGCCTTTCAGTTAGCAGCTGAGCTCATTAACTATTTGCACCACCTAGGGATGCTGTTGGTATAAGACAGTGATGAGCAGACAATAAACAGATATACAGATAACTCACATGAGCATGGACTTTAAAGTGATTTAAGAGATCTACTGAGGAACTGTTAATTCTGTTCCATAAGGGAGCAGCTTAAGCACCAAAAAAAGGGACGTGGATGTGAAAAATCATATATGTTACTCCTTTTTCTAATGTTGTTAAAGTAGAAAAGGTTGAATCTTTTTTTTTTCCCTACCAGATAACTAGTAATTTTTATTATTAGTGGTTGGTTTTACTTTAAAAACTACTAAGTTTCTTATATCCAGGAGTATTTTCTTTGTGGTGAGGTGTTTAGAAACCCACTACTTCAGCCATTTAGATTAAAATTTGAGTTCATTATAAGGGAAAGACATCAGACCCAGAATCAGTATTAATGACCACTCCCACCCCACAAAACACATTCACATTTTGAAATATAAATCTTAAATGTAGGATTCTAGGGAGTGGGTCTTTTAGAAAGGTGACAGTGAGGAAGGAAAGGTACAGCTGTGGCTTTGGCTAATTGAACCATGAGTATGACTGTGTGATTGCCTGTAAGTCCTCTTTTAGGGAGGACTTCCCTTCCTGTTTTTTCTCTTGGTTTTCTAATGTCCTGGTAGCGCAGTGGTTAAGAGTTCAGCTGCTAACCAAAAGGTCGGCAATTCGAATCCACCAGCCACTCCTTGGAAACCCTATGGGGCAGTTCTGCTCTGTCCTGTGGGGTCGCAATAAGTTGGAATCGACTTGACGGCAATGGGTTTGGTTTTGGTTTAGGTTAAGAGTCCCTGGGTGGTGCTAAATGGTTAACACGCTTGGCTGCTAACCGAAAGGTTAGAGGTTTGAGTCCACCCAGAGCTCCCTCGGAAGAAAGGGTTGGAGATGTGCTTCCGAAAACTCAGCCACTGAGAACCCTATGGGGCACAACTCGACTTTGATACTCATGGGGTCATCATGAGTTGGAATCGACTCGATAGGAAAAAGGTAAAAGATATGGTGTGACAAAACCCAGAAAAACGCATTGCTGTGGAGCTGATTCTGACTAATAGCGACCCTGCAGGACAGAGTAGAACTGCCCCATAGGGTTTCCAAGGAGTGGCTGGTGGATTTGAAGTGCTGACCTTTTGATTAGCAGCTGAACTCTTAAGCACTATCCCACCAGGGTTTCATATGGTAGGGAATGCAAAATTTCTTCCCTGGGAGTTTAAGCAGGTAAGGTGAACTTGGGAAAGAAGTAAAACCTGTGGTTGTTAATGTTGTTTCTGCCTCTGCAGATACTGGGCTAACTTGAAGTTGTGGTTCAAGCAGAAGATCAGCAAAGAAGAGTTTGACCTTGAAGCTCATAGACTTCTCACACAGGATAATGGTAAATAATTATCTCGGAATTTATTTTACCGTTCTGAAGTTTTCCCAGATTTGCAAGAAGTTAGTCTTTTCGCTTTAAAAAACGAAAGTTTTGGCTTTAGTGGTGTAATGAGGTTGCCTTAATAATGAGACTGTTTTAAGAGTAAAGAATGTCAGAGTAGGGAACATCCAAACCCTTACAAGCTAGAGTAAAGTGATGGTTTCTTTACATTTTGAGTATTTTGTATTTGATGTGTGGTACTGTTCCCTTTTTCAGTCCATTCCCACAACGATTTCCTTCTGGCTATTCTCACGCGTTGTCAGATTTTGGTTTCTACACCAGGTAAGGCAGTTGAAATACTTCCTGTGTACGTCATTTGGCAAAGCCACGGGGTACTGGGCCTTAGCTTCCTTTAACAGACACGTCTGCCAATGAAATGTTCTTTGAACTGCTTAGAAGAAAAATGTTACGTAGGTACACCATCTTTATAGAATTTTTTAAAGTAGATGATTTCCCTATGCTTACATTGACTTTTGGTCTTTACTCCCCAGTCAGCTGGATTTTAGTTTACTTAAATAAACAAGAAGTGAGAAAAATGGGAGGTCAGGATGAAGAAGCTGAAGGGAAATGAAGAGAGGGAAGGTGGTGTTAGGAGAAAGTGTTCGATAGATTAGGGGAGATGGGTTACTTGGGAGGGGAAGCCACACCTGTGCTAGAAATCTGGACTTTCACTTGTATTCTTAAGTAAGATATTAGCACCTGGAAGGCAGAGTTTCATACTGTTGATGGTCTAGTGTGCAGCACACCATGTGTATTTGGCAGATTATTGGTGGAGAGGAAACGGTAGGAGATAGTAATGCTTAGCTGTCACTTGAACCTAAAAAGGTACAAAGAGAAACACTGGCCCTTTTCTGCTAAAGTTCTTGGAGCGTAAGTGGCAGATTAAGTTACCAGTCACCTCTTTCAACTGTCTTATTTTAGTCAGTTTAGTCGACAAATAACTTATTAAAAACTTGCCTCATGTAAGATTTCATCCTGGGCTTTTGTTAAGGACTTGGGTTCACAGGTCCCTCCTGCTGTAGATTAAATTGGATTTTTTTTTTTTTTTTTTTTTTTAAGGGGCCAAGGGTGATTCCTGTGATCATTTCTCAAAAGCCCATGTTTTGCCTGGAAATGGCTGGTATTTTGTATCATCCCTCTCTGCTAACCTCTGCTCTGTAATAAGGAATGCTCCTAAAGCCTAATCCCTCCACCCTTAGAGAAGTGGTCATCAGTGGAAAGTGAAACAGTGAGCACTTGTTTATGGATGCAGGTGTTAGAGGGTAACCACTGTACATTCTCACACTATGCCATATTTTTGATGTTCTGTTTATTAAAATGGACTTCAGTTATACCTTTTTTATGCCCAAAATTAGATCACAAGGAGGATCCACTTTGTAGTATAAAATTTAATTTGATCAGAAAAGCCACCATTTTGAGGATTAGGTCTTTTTAGGTGGCTATATTCTAAAGTGCCACAAACCCAAAAGGTTAGTGGAGTAATCAAAAGAAAACCCCTGGTTGATAAAGAACTAGGTTCAAAGTTTAGGTTTTATCACTAGATTAGATAATGCAGTTAACTACTTGGCAGTGAGGGAGGCAAGGGTCTTAGCTTTCACATTTGTACAATAGGAACAGTCATACCTATCCTACAGGATTATGAAAGAGGAAATGAAAGAACATATAAAAAGTGCTTTGAAAAGTAAAAAAATGACAAACAAATACAAAGTGGTATTAATGATTCTAAGTGACTGATTTTAGTTAAATGGAAACTTTTGACATTCTTGAATGTTTGTTTCTGGTTATTTAAAAATATATGAAGAAACATCCCATTGTGAATTTAAGAGGTTATTTCTCCATCAACACCCAAAATATATCTCCTCAAAATGAAATTAATATGTGCTAGCAACGAAGAAATGCTTTCTATTAAAAGTAAAATATAAGTCTTTCTACTTATAATAATTGTGGATGGATTATTTTCTGTTTTTCTAAGCTAGGCAGGAAAGATGATTTTAATAACATTATTGAGTGACTGCCGTGTGCTAGATGCTTGGCGTGCCTTGTCTTTAGTCTTCACAGCAACCTCGCAGAGTGCTTTTACAGTTAAGGAAACAAAGCAACAACTTGCCGAGGCCCTTTCCAGCTAGGAAGTGAAAGTAGTGGGATCCAGACAGCAGTCCACAGGCCATAAAGCCCTCCTTCTTGTCGGGGTTAGTCCTTACCAGGCCGGGCTTCCTCACCCCACAACAGCAGCTCCTCCGCTCTGATTTTCAAGGCCTGTTTTTGCCTCGTCCTCTGCATGTTCAACCTACTTTCTCTTTTCATCACCAAACTTTCAGCTTCATTTATTAGAATAGGTTTCTTTGGGAATCATCTGATATCGACTGAGGATATTATCAAGTGAGATCTGGTGTGCCAAAGACATTTAAAGTGATGGAGACTTCCCAAACAGGTCTCTTAATTGAGGAACTTTGGACATTTTTTCCCAAAGCTTTTAAAACTTGTTCTTTCCCCAACGTCAATATTGCAATAATGTTTTGCTAGGATTATGGATGATTTTTTTTTCCTTTCTTAAAAAGTACTTTTTGCTTATATTTTTCAAGTGTATTACAATGAGCTTGTATTACTTTTTTTTTTACATTAAACCATGATTTAAAAAAAAAAAAATCGGTAATACAGATGGGCTTATAATGAAAGCCACAGCTTTTCTCCACCCCTTTACTTGTGCCCAGAAGCAGCTGCTTTTGTTTTTTGTTCTTCTAGTCAGACCTCCATAGCTCCTCATAGTAGGCTTAGTTCTGTTTCTGGATTTACTGTCTTTAGACGTTATCTGTCTTTTGTCTCATTGCTCTGTTCTTTGTGATTTCCTCACCTCATATCTTTCAGCCTTTCTGTTCAATGCATTCTTTAATTCAGTAATTTTTGTAGTATCTTCTTGTTTTATGGATACAGATCTCAAATCTCCTTAAGGATACCAGTGAGAAGTCTTTCAAAGTCCTCTTTGGTTCCCTGAGTTCTTTCTTTTTCCTAGGACTTCTATTTTCTGTTTATCTGGGTCTTTTCTTATCCTCAAATGTCTGGTGATTCATTGCTATCCTTTTCATATTAAGAATGAATCATAAAAAAGTTGCCTGGAGGCTTTGCTTTAGGGTAAGCTGACAGAAAGCTAGCAATTAAACTGAGGGGCCCCCAAATGTCAGCAAGTAAAGAACTTTGCTTTAAGGTGCCAACATCATACCAACTACCTTAGTTCATCCTAGAAACTTTGTGCAATTTAACTAGAGAAAAGTAATCCATTGCCTCCCACCCGTGTAAATACTGGGCTTCATGTCATACTGTGCATGGCAGTGAGTAGGGCTAGCTTCATGGGCTTGCAACCAGAGGGGCCCAACACTTGGTTTAACGCTCTGCTGTTGTCTCACATTTTCATTTTGTACTGCGCGCAGCATATACGTAGCCAGCGCACAGGGTGAGGGAAGGGGTTGTGTGGATGACTTTTGAGTATAAACCTTCCATGAATCTTCTAGTTTTTAGCCTTACTGATTTCTGCTGGTTTCCACTATACTCACATTCTCCACATCTAGATTCTTTGTGGGTTTTTACGAATCAGGTTGACTTGTTCCTGCCGCATTTGCCAGCCTTGTTTGCATAGCCTAAGTTACAGCTTCTCTGTGCCTTCTTTGTAAGTCAGCAACCTTTTAGCCCTTCCAGGACATTTGTTCAGTTGTTATCTTGTCTTACACTCATTTTCTTCTTTATCTCTGTGTTGTGGATGTGTGCCGTTTGTCTTCCTCTACTCATTTTTAGTAGGATCTTGGAAGGGAGAGGAGATAAATATACGTGCTTAGTTCACCATCTTGAACTACAAAACTCTGTCCTACTCTTACAATAATAATGATGAGCAAAGCAATCACCCAATAAACATTAATTACAAGTAGAAAAAGCAAAAAAAAAAAAAAAATTCCTAAAAACAAAAACAATAATTTTGGTTACAGCTGAAAAAAATGTGATTTGAGAGAATTTATAACTTTTTAGAGACAAGACTAGAAAAAGTTTGAATTTAAGCATTGTTATTTAACTTAGGATTGTTATTTTTCTGTCTCATAGAGGGTGCTGGATCTTTACCCTGGACAGGAGGCTCTGCAGCCAAGCCTGGAAAACCCAAGGGAAAGAAAAAGCTTTCTTCAGTTCGTCAGAAATTTGATGTAGGTTACTCTCCAATAGATCTTAGTAATGACTGAGTTAAGTGTGGTATAACCAGCTTTAGTTTTTAAAGGAAAATTAAACGACTGGTAATAGCATTGAAACAAAAAGGGGAATGATTTTGGGAGAAAAGGTGTTACTGTAATTGAAGTTGGTAAAGGCGTCAAAGGTTGTGAGTCCCAGCTGTCTGCATTTTTATAGTTCTAGTTTGTTCTTGCTTAAGTACTAACATGTTATCATTAATATCCAGTGATTTTTCAATGATTCAAAAGCCATACCAGTGTTCTTTCTCCTCTTAAATATTTTTCTTGAAAGAAAAACATTTCTCAGATTGAATGCTTCTGTTCCAAGGGCCTGGGAGGCCCGGCGACTTCTGGCAGTACCCCAACAATCCGTAGGTGGGCCGCTGAACCTTCAGGGAAGAGTGGAGATACCATGAAGACATTTGGCAATAAAATTTGTAAACATTAGAGTAACTCACTTTTTCAGTTTATATCTAGGGAAAGAGGTTTCTCAGAAGCATCCCTTTTATGGGTTTGACTGAATTATTGATAGCTTTATTGGTTAACTCAACAGACATTTGTCTACTTCCACCTTTTCTCTTTTAACCAGTAATAATAATAAACCTGGATGGCATCATCATCTCCAGAGAGACATGCTTGGTTTAAAAAGGCATGTTCAATATAAAATACAGTTTTATACTTGGAGAATGGAAAAACAGCACATTTTGTTTTTATAATACAAGCTTCAACAGAACAAGCCTTTTTCACTGTAAAATCTTGTACTTTGGATTTAAGCAAAAGCTGACTTGAGCCTATCTCCCACTGATGATGGATGGAATACAGATGAGATATCAGAATCTCCCGAAGGAAGGCTGAGGTTTTATGGGTGAGAAGAAGTTGAGAAAAAGCTTAACTAGTCTTAGATAGGTTCTGTGTTGAGAATTTTAAGTAGAAAATAATAGTAACGGAACAGTTACACTATCCAACATTATCTTGGAATATTTGTTATTAGATCTGTTATATTGGTTGATTAGGCTTTTTAGTGCTTAATTGAAGCATTAATTATATAATTATTCTTTCAGAGCTTAGTTATATCTCCTCTTCTATAATGATTATTTTTAGCATATATTCTGTGATCACTAAGATACTAATTGAATAAACTACCATGCATACTACCATTATTTCCTCTTGATTCATGCCTTCACTAATTACCATGTAATGAATGTTAATTTATGATTATTTGTTGACGAGTTACTTTTTTTCTGCCATGTGGTATAGTTTTGGGGTTTGTGGGGTCTCAAACCCAATATGTGGGTTACTTTTGTTTGTGTTTTATTATTGGGCATTGTAATGAATAATTTTTGAATTTTTTTTTTGTTTTGTTTTGTTTTTTTACCTCTAGCATAGGTTTCAGCCTCAGAATCCCCTCTCGGGAGCCCAGCAGTTTGTGGCAAAGGATCCCCAAGATGATGACGACTTGAAACTTTGTTCCCACACGATGATGCTCCCTACCCGAGGTCAGCTGGAAGGGAGGATGATAGTGACTGCTTATGAGCATGGGCTGGACAACGTCACCGAGGAGGCCGTCTCAGCTGTCGTCTATGCAGTGGAAGTTAGTTTGCTGTTGGCAGAAATAATTCTACAGATTGAATGTGATAAGCTCGTGTTTGTTGTTTAAAGTTGATAAGGCAAGGAAAGAACTAGAATGTCACTCTGATCTCATGGGATTGTCATTGTTAGAGTTGTTACCTTCTCAGGGAGAAACACAATCCAAAGGATCGCCTTCAGTGAACATACTAAACTTTTCAGATAGGTTACTTGATTTAGTGTTTAATTTGTCAACAAGGGAACAGTCTTTAAGGAAAAAAAGGAGATGGAGAATCCTATAAAAGTCCGTTGTTTTTGCTGGGGTGTATAACGTTGGAGGAGCGTTAGACTTGGCGTTTGAGCAGTGGGACTCTAGTCTCTACACACATGGATTCGTCTCTTCGCTTTAGTCATTTAGTTGACAGAATGTATGTTGAGGCGTATAGGATGCAGGTATGATCAGGTGACCTTGGGTATGTCCTCTCAATTCCTTGGGCCTCAGTTTCTTCATCTGTACCTCAAAGATAATAATAGCTGTCTTAGGGAGTTTTAAACATTAAACGAATTCTGTATATGAAAACCCATTATAAATTAAACATTGCTGTCCTGTGTAAGGTGGTCTCATTGGTATAGTTGAAACCCCTGCTCAGCCCTGGCTCCCCTGTTACTAATGGTCATCTGGGACTAGTCCTCCTCTCCATTTCCCTAGACTTCTCCATCCCTCTCTTACGTACTTACCTTTCATAAAGGTGAAGAAAAATTAAGTACCTTTTTTTTTTTTTTGTATGTTTTTTTTTTTTGGTGCTTATTTCCTACATATGTTTATGTAGCTTTTGAAGGAGTCAGGGTGATACTAGGGAATATTTGCACACTGTTCTCAGGCAAGGATTTTAGTAGATTGGGCATTCTAACCAATGAATACCGGACCTGGGAACTTTTTGTTCTGTTTTTAAACCAAGTTTCAAGGTAGTCCGCCTCTTTTAAAATTTTATTTATTCCTTCATTTGACTTTTACCCTATTTAAAGCTATCTGAAAATCATTTTTGAGAGAGAGAAGCAAATCTAGAACATGAAAACCTCTTTTAAATTTCATGTAGAGCAGCACATTTTGAATAGAACTAAATAAAAATGAGCATGCCTCCCTCTTTGCTGCATCCTCCTGCTCCTCTGCTGTGGCCCTGGGCTTGTTAGTGAGCATTCATTGGGTTCTAGCATGTGCCAGCCTGCCTCACACCTCCATCCACTAAATGCCACTTAATATTTTTTGGTTATCTTTGGAGTTTTATGATTTACTTTTATTATTTTTTTAATTTTATTTTGTTGAGAATATACACAGCAAAACATGCACCATTTCAACCATTTCTCCATATACAATTCAGTGACATTGATTACGTTCTTCGAGTTGTGCAGCCATTCTCATGCTCCTTTTCTGAATTATTCCTTCTTCATTAACATAAACTCATTGTCCCCTAAGGTTCCTATCTAATCTTTCAAGTTATTGTTGTCCCTTTGATTCAATATAGATAGTTGTTAAAAGAACATAAGGCTCAGGGCAGACATTTTTTACTAGTTAAGCTAAACTATTGTTTGTTTTTTAAGAAGACTTCAGGGGATATTTTTGGTTTAAGGTTTAAAGGTTATCTCAGGGCAGTAGTTTCAGGGATGATTTGCTCATGGTAATTTTCTTTCTTGTTTTTACAGAATCACCTTAAAGATATTCTGACATCAGTTGTGTCAAGAAGGAAAGCTTACCGGTTACGAGATGGTCATTTTAAATATGCCTTTGGTAGTAATGTGACTCCACAGCCATACCTCAAGAATAGTGTAATAGCTTACAACAATTTAATAGAAAGGTAATTGAAGTTTGTGATTTTGCTTCCATCACTTATGCAATAGACCACTGTTAAATAATTGCTTGTTGTGTTTCCGTGAGTACCTTTGAGAGCAGTACAATTTTATTTTCTTAAGTTCCATCCTTGCATGATATCTAGTGAGTTTATTCTTTATATGAGGAGTGACATTCCAGGGTTTGGCTGCTGCATGTGGGTTAACATCAGTGTGTGCCCCACACTTTCTGAGGTAGGTGGCGGCTCCCTTGGGCAGCACCTGCCTGGCAGGAAGTGGGACTGCTCTTGGTCAGAAGCCTGGCCTGTGATTGTTGGGCTCAGGTTTCTTGATGGTGAAAGGATTGCTAAGTGTTCCTCCAGGCCCTCCTCTGGCTGTCCCGGCCATAGCTCGAGATCGTGGCCAGGTCAGGCATCACCAGATTGCTCCTGGCAGCCTGTCGTGCAGACCTGGTCTTTCAGCTCTGTGGCCTCTGTGCTGGGGTCCCTATCTCTCATCCCGAGGCCTCCCAGGCCCTCCCTTATGTCCCTGAGTCACCCCTTTAGGAGATGGCCTAGATGACCTTCACCTGTGTGTTGTCTAGCCTGACCCCTCCACAAAAAAAGATTTAGTCTGAATGTTAAGCCTTTGGGAAAGAAAAAAACAGTAATACATTTTTCTTCATGGTTAATGAATCTTTCTGCATGTTTGGCTTTGTGTATCTGGTAAGTTAGGGAGAAAACAGGTAAAGAGATGACGAGGAGGCACACAAGTTCAGAGAAAAAAGTATGATTGGGAGGTTTTGCGGGAGAGATGGTGCTGAGGAGATAGCAGGAAGGGGGAGAAGGCAGGAGGTGTGATAGAGAAAGGAGTGGAGGAAAGCTGAGAGGAGGGTCGAGCAGAGCAGGTGGTGTTGACACCACATGATGAGGGTTGTGCTGGTGTCTCGGTGCCCATTTCACAGCTCTGAAGACCTTGATAGGGTCACAGGACTGTTTTGAAGAGCACCATAGCTTTCCTGTTATAATGAAATGTGCAAAGACTTGGAGGTAGAAACCCAAAAGGGAACAACACGCTCAGTATTTCTTAAGCTGAAAGAACTGAAAAAAAATTCAAGCCTTGAGTTACAATATTGAAGGGTTCTATGGGCAAGATACTGAACAACACAGGAAGCGTCAAAAGAAGATGGAAGGAATACTCAGAGTCGCTGTACCAAAAAGAATTGGTCGACAGTCATCCATTTCAGGAGGAAGCATATGATCAAGAACGAGTGGTACTGAAGGAAGAGGTCCAAGCTGCACTGAAGGCATTGGCGAAAACCAAGGCCCCAGGCATTGATGGAATACCAGTTGAGTTATTTCAGTAAACGGATGTAGTGCTGGTAGTACTCACTTGTCTATGTCAAGAAATTTGGAAGACACCTACCTGGCCAGCCAACTGGAAGAGATCCATATTTGTGCTTATTCGAAAGAAAAGTGATCCAGCTGAATGGAGATATTATTGAATAATATCATTAATATCACATACGTAAAATTTTGCTGAAGATCATTCAAACGCAGTTGCGGCAGTACATCGACAGGGAACTACCAGAAATTCAAGCCAGGTTAGGAAGAGTCCATAGAAGGAGGGATAATCAATGCCAGTGTCAGATGGATCTTGGCTAAAAGCAGAGAATACCAGAAAGATGTTTATCTGTTTTATTGCCTATGCAAAGACATTCGGCTGTGTGGAACATAACAAATTATGGATAACATCGCAAAGAATGGGAATTCCAGAACATTGTGCTCATGAGGAACCTGAACATAGACCAAGAAGCAGTCATTTGAACAGACCAAGGGAATACTGCGTGGTTTAAAGTCAGGAAAGGTGTGCGTCAGGGTTATATCCTGTTACCATACCTATTCAGCCTTTATGCTGAGCAAATAATCCGAGAAGCTAGACTATATGAAGAAGAATGTGGCATCAGGATTGGAGGAAGACTCATTAACAACTTGTGATATGGAGATGACACAACCTTGCTTCCTAAAAGCGAAGAGGACTTGAAGCACTTACTGATGAAGATGAAAGACTACAGACTTCAGTATGGATTACATCTCAATATAAAGAAAAAAAACTTCATAACTGGACCAATAAGCAACATCATGATAAATGGAGAAAATATTGAAGTTGTCAAGGATTTCATTTTACTTGTATCCACAGTCAACATCCATGGGAGCAGCAGTCAAGAAATCAAACAATGCATTGTTGGGAGCAAGGGAGAATGAAGAAAACCAAAGACACAAGGGAAAGATTAGTCCAAAGGACTAATGGACCACAACTACCACAGCTTCCACCAGACTGAATCTAGCACAACTAGATGGTGCCCAGCTACTACCACTGACTGCTCTGACAGGGATCACAATAGAGGGTCCCAGACAGAGCTGGAGAAAAACGTAGAACAAAATTCTAACTCCAAAAAAGACCAGAGTCTGACAGAGACTGGAGAAACCCTGAGAGTATGGCGCCTGGACACCCTTTTAGCTCAGTAATGATGTCACTCCTGAGGTTCACCCTTCAGCCGAAGATCAGACAGGCCCATAAAACAAAACGAGACTAAAGGGACACACCAGCCCAGGAGCAAGCACGAGAAGGCAGGAGGGGACAGGAAATCTGGTGATTGGAAACCCGAGGTTGAGAAGAGGAGAGTGTTGACATGTCGCTGGGTTGGTAACCAGTGTCACAGAACAATATGTGTACTAATTGTTTAATGAGAAGCTAGTTCTGTAAACCTTCATGTAAAGAACAGTTAAAAAATAATAATAATAAACAAGGACTACTAGCATACAACAACAACAAAAAAATCAAACAATGCATTGCATTAGGCAAATCTACTGCAAAAGACCTCTGTAAAGTGTTAAAAAGCAAAGTTATCACTTTAAGGTTCACCTGACCCAAGCCATGGCATTTTCAGTCAGTTCGTATGCATGAGAAAGCTGGAAAATGAATAAGGAGGACCAAAGAAGAATTGATGCCTTTGAATTATGGTGTTGGTGAAGAATATTGAATATACTATGGACTGCCAGAAGAACAAACAAATCTGTCTTGGAAGAAGTAGAGCCAGAATTCTCCTTAGAAGGAAGGATGGCGAGACTTTGTCTTATGTACTTTGGACATGTTATTAGGAGAGATCAGTCCCTGGAGAAGGACATCATGCTTGGTAAAGTAGAGGGTCAGGGAAAGAGAGGAAGACCCTCAATGAGATGGATTCACATAGTGGCTGCAACAATGGCCTCAAGCATAACAAAGATTGTGAGGATGGTGCAGGACCAGGCTGTGTTTCTTCGTTCTGTTGTACATATGGTCTCTCTCTGAGTCGGAACCGACTTCAGGGCACCAAACATAACTAACATAACATAGTAAACTGGGTTAACTTTAGATTGCTGTATTTGTTGTGAATATTTGTTGTTTAAATCTCATTCAGGCACCTGTTATCTGTTTGAGAGTACCTGTTCTCATTTGTAAGTCATTCTTTTCTAGAGAAGAACAGAAATACAAATGAAAGTGGCTCCTTGTAATGGGTGAATATTGGGAGCAGTGTCTCTGACACTGGCAGGGCTCCCAAGCCCTTTTCTCTGTTGGTTGGTTCCTGTTAGGGCTTCTCTCAGTGGCGTCACTAGGGTTGGTGTCACTCAGTACAGTAACTCATGGTGTCACCCCCTCATGGACCTCCTCCTGTACCAGACCATACAGAATCCTGAGTAATGTTTTTTGTATTAGTGTTACTAGTAAATTATAATTCCCGTATATCACTGAGTATAATGGCAATATTAATGACATAAACAACTAGTAAAATTAAAATTACACCTCTAAATTACAATATCATATGCCCAGCCTACATCTAAATGTATTTACATTTACATAGTTTCATATGGTTAAAGTGAAAATTCGGTAAGAAAACTATAGAATTTGAAGTAAAACCATTTAAAACTATATCAAAATTAGGTTCATTTTAATGTTAAGCTTTAGTGTTACATGAGGTACATTACTGGATTAGGTTTGCATAATCAGTAATGGCCCAGATAAGGTAGAAGTTGTAAATAAATACATATGGAAATATATTCATAAACGAAATAATACTATAAAAATAAACAGGAACAAATATACAAGCATTTCAGCACTTGGTGAACATCTCAACTAAATATGTGATAAATATAGTTGTAAATTGCTAAAATGTAATATTTCTTAGATTATATGAATACTAACAAAATCGTAAAATTTTTCTACATTGAATTACATTATTAGTTATAACATTAGTAGTAACTGAACAGAAGCCTTTTTTGATTTTTCTCCTTTTCCTTTAATTACTACATTCTCAAAAAAGTTATGATATAGGTTCACAAGTACTAATTACCACAATACTGTAGCTAAAACATCAGAAAATTTGACAAAATCAGCGACTATAAAAACACTGGCGGCAAGGAAAACAACAGCGTGCTTGTGTGTGAGCAGATGAAACCATGTGATTGGAAACGTCTTTGTCATTGAGTAATGATGACAGCTCTCACCTGAGCGCATTAGAAACTTCAGAGTAAATAAGCATAGAGTTTTAGCCTTGTAGGTATACTGATACATGTCAGCTGGGCTTATGAAAAATGTTTTTGTTGTAGCTAACTGCAGCGATATTTTTATAAAAATAATAAATTTCTGCTGAAACACTGCACAAAAATTTTATAGACGGTCATTTTGGTGTGACCCCTTCTGACAGTGCCACCTGCTGCGGTCTGCATGCCCTACACCCCTCTAGTGAAGCCACTGGCTTCTCTAACAGGGCTGCTTTTGTCTGATGCCTCAAACCCATGCTGATGTTCCGCTCTTGCTTTCCTTCAGATTACTTCCTCAGCGGCTTTTGTTTTACCTCCTTGTATGTTCCTCAGACTGTATAGATTGTCTCCTGTTGTTCATGATGGAAAACTCATGGCTGACTTCCCAGCTTGTGTTGTATCTGGGTTCTATTTTGGGAAAATTGGCAAGATGTGGATTAATTCTCTCCATCCTCTGTTTTTACCTGTTGCTTCTTTTGTGCTGTATTTTCTTGCTCTTTATTTCTGATCCTGTTGTCTCCAATACTGTTTACCTTCCTCTCCAGTCAGTTGTTTCCAATTTTATATACCTAATTAAGCTCTTTAAGGGGCAGGACACAATTTTGATTCCTCCTGAGCTTAGTAAATATTTTAACATTGTGGAGGGAGGAGGGTCAGTGTAGTTGCACTGTATTTTTGGCTGCCTTTAAAAATTAAAACAACTGGTTAAATAATTGGATTTTGAATTCATTTTACAGTTTTTAATAAATTGTATTCTAGCAGCCCACTCCTGTTGAATTTATTCAGTTGTCTCCATCTTAGTTGCTAAGAATATTTCTGAAATTTTTTTTTTTCAGCCCTCCAGCCTTTTCTGGTCCTTGTGCTGGTCAGAATCCAGCTTCTCATCTGCCACCCGATGACGCCGAGCAGCAGGCCGCGCTCCTGCTGGCGTGCTCTGGGGACACGCTGCCCGCGTCTTTGCCTCCGGTCAACATGTACGACCTTTTTGAAGCTTTGCAGGTAACTCTGGGTTCCTTAAAGGTTACGTAGACTTATGCATAGTTTAAAATACTTTTCAAGTCTGCAAAGATGTTCACTAGCTTTTTTCACTTCTTGGCTTTTTTGTTTTTCAGTTTTTATTGTTATTATAGCTATTAACACGAGCCTCATTTTTCATATCCTGGACCCTTGAGTCCTTCATAATTCACTCTCCTCAACCTATCCACCCTCTCCTCTCCCTTCCCCAGTAAAAGAAAGAAAAAAAAATTCCCCTTGTTCCCATTTCAGAACCTTGTTATGTCCTTTTTTCCCTTGTTACCTAATTTGGGGTTTATGAGGTTCTGACTTTTAAGATGGTGCTGTCTGTTGTGTGAGTGCTCTGTTGTATTTTATATGTTGAAAAAGAAGTGCACTGAAGTATAATTGGCAACATGCTAATTTTTAAATCACAGGTACACAGGGAAGTAATCCCTACACACACTGTGTATGCCCTCAACATTGAAAGGATCATCATGAAACTCTGGCATCCAAATCACGAGGAGCTGCAGCAAGACAAAATTCACCGTCAGCGCCTGGCAGCGAAGGAGGGGCTTTTGCTCTGCTGAATTAGGATTTGAGGGTGTGGGTCCCTCAGCTAATTGATTGATTATTGAGAATTGAATGTTTTCTGGGTCCACATTTCAAGGCTGAAGTGTATAGTGTATATATAACCTTTCCTATGGAAATGTGACTGAGTACATTTTGTGTTGCTACTGTGAAGCCATTAACATAAACCTGACTTTGATAATGACCCATATCTATGTGTGTATGTGTGTATGACTTCAATTATGGGAACAAGAACTGACAGAGTTCTGGAGATGTTTAGGCATCTGGAGCTTAGCATCCTATGGCCTGCAGGTGAGGTGGATGACATCCTAGAAGAAAGAAGTTGTTACCACGTAGTCCCCATGATCAGTAGGACATCCACATCATATACTCTGTATCTAGCAAGTCTACAATTTTTGCTTTTCTCTTACATTTTGACTGAAATAACCTACAAAGTGTTAAAAGTCAGATACCTCCCTGAGTGACCAATTTAATTTTTAATAGATATAGGTAGGCCCCCCAAAATTCATCATTACAACTTACAGAGAATATGACTTGGCAATGCTATGTTAATAGACAAAGTCCTTTCTTTGCATTAAAAAACAATAAAAGTAAAAATCTTAAGAGTGCAATTAATTAACCTTATAAAATGTCCTCCCTTAACTCATTTCTTTGATAGCTTCACAAGAGTTAATAAGACTTCGACTAGCAGGTTCGTCTATTAATTATTCCTATAGAATGTTTTAAGAATTAGTTACAACCAGATTGGATTTGTGCTTGGTAATTCCCATCTGTCTACCCTTTCAAGTTATAAAGTGAAAGTAATACACATTTCACAGTGTTACTGATAACTTTTTTTTTGAAGAGGTATGTTGCTGTTTACTGAAGATACAGTGTTGGTGGGTAAATTAGAATGTATAGATGGATTTGTGTAGGTCTAAATGTATATATACATATGTATATATGGTTAAATATTTGGATCTGTGAATTTGATTTCATACTTTAAATGTGACAAATAAACCTTTTGGGAGAAAACAATGTTTTTGTTTTTTAAAGTAAATATATAAGGAATACTGCCTTCTACAGAAATATGAAAAGCCCTGCTTTATGAGATCTTGGCAGACTTTTCAAAAGACTGTAATAGATGAGAAAGATTACAAAGCAGATTCCAGTTAAGATGTGCCATTTCTTCCTTTTGTGATGTATGTATTAAGACCAAAAAGAAAAACAGTTTCAGTTCTTGGCACAAGTCTGAAAAGCTTTTAGAGTTTTAGGTGAGGCAATATTCAGTTTTTAAGGTCTGGAAGAATCTGAACCAATGTCCAATGGTTATTTTGGACTACAAACACCTGCACCCTAATACTGTCCAGGAAGTATGTGATGTGTTACATTTCATGGGCTCTGTAGATGAAGTCAGCCAGGAGCCTCAATCATGGCCTGCTTCTCTAGTGGTCTGTATAACACACAGGAAAGTCCAAACAAAAGAAAATTTCCTCCTACTCCCTAGACCCTGCCTAAATCCCTGAAGTCACCTCCCTGGCCCGTTAGGCCTGGTAACAAAGATCACAGGATACCAGAGGACTCTTGCCTCATGTACTTCAGGCTTAATGCTCTAAACTACTGAAGAGACTGCTCTCTGCTAGTTTTCCTCAGGAATCCACTTTCTAAAGTGGGGAGATGGGGTTGAGGGCAGGTCAAGAAGGTAGAAAAGAGTAATATTGAAGAGAATTTTCAAGAGAGCTCCTGAAAGGGACTTGAACTCTTCTGTCACCAAAGGTTGGCTCCAACTCCAGCTCCACAGCCAGCTGGGATCCTCAGTACAGTCTCTTCTGTAACAAAGTTCCTAAGAAACCCTAAGTGTTGTTTTATTATCAAGAATTAGTTTTAGAAAATAATTGTTTCAGTGAGGAAAAAAGTGGTAGAAACCAGGTAATTTCAATTGGGATAAAGCTTATTTTTCCTATAGGAATTTCAGTAATAACTGCCTTTTAAACTTACTGCCTTCAAGTCAATTCTCATAGTGACCCTACAGGACAGAGTAGAACTGCCCCATGGGGTTTCCAAGCAGCAGCTGGTAGACTTGAACTGCCACTCTCTTTGGTTAGCAGCTGGGCACTTAACCACTGTGCTATAGGGGTATCACTGCAAAAACCAGCTTTCACAAGGCCTTACTTTGCTGGACACCATGAGGACCTTCTCAGCACATATTCTGAACACCTTTAGCATATATTGTGATCAACAAAGCACAAAGCTCCTCACTCTTCCTCCCCTCTGTTGCCTGAAGCGATTGATCGAGATGTTCCTGATCAGATTTCACAAAATTGTCTTCTGATTACTCTGACCATAGATAAACTGCCTGTGTCCCATCATGTCTTCAGCTCATACCAGAATGCCTCCGGGATATAATGGGCAAGGAAGCTTGGTTTTAGGGGTTAGACTTAAGAGGGTATGGCTAACAAGTTAGTTCAGCATTTAATTCTGATGGCTTAAAAAGGAAAAAGAAATGTTTATTCTTGGAGAGTAGACTACTGCCTATTTGAGTCTATGGGCATGGTGGCGTCCCTGGGTGGTGCCAATGGTTAACTGAAAGGTTGGAGGTTTGAGTCCACCCAGAGGCACTCCAGAAGAAAGGCCTGGCAATCTACTTACAAAAAAGTCAGCCATTGAAATCTCTGTGGAGCACAGTTCTACTCGGACACACACGGGGTTGTCCTGACTTGGAGTCAACTCCACAGGCGACTGGTAACTGGTGGTTGTTGTGTACCCGATTCTGACTCACAGCCACCCCATAGGACAGAGTAGAACTGCCCCGTAGGTTTTCCGTGGAGTGGCTGGTGGATTCAAACAGCTGACCTTTTGATTAGCAGCTGAACTGTTAACCACTGTGCCACCAGAGCTCTGGTAACTGGTTTGGGCATGATAAATTGTCAGGACTAATTTCACTGAAAGACCACACGTAATTTCATCATGCTTTCATTTTTAAACAAATTTATGAAAACAGGATATCCTCTTCTACCCATCAACTTATTAGCATGTTTTCACTCATTTTAAATTAACACCACTTTTTGGGTTTCCTTTGTGTGATTCTGTAATGCACCATCCCGGAGAGCACCCAAAAACATGATTCTTGAGGAAAAAAAGCTATTTATACAAAACAATTTCCCCTTTTTAAGCCAGTTTAAAACCACACATTGTTTTTCTCCCCCGTCTTCAAAAACACGAGCATTACTTACACTGCCACCCCACCGACAGACTTGATCCAGGGGTGCACCATACTGGCACCAAACTAGGTGGGGAATAAGATGTAGCCAACAGCTTGGAAAGTGACTGTCAGCAGGTAAACAATAAAACCACCATAGCCTATTGTCTTTATTATCAAAGTTTATTGTTGGGGTGAGTTCCTATCTACTGGGGAGTACAACTATGTCTCAATATGTGCTATAGTAACTCTAGGGTAATAGCCATTCTGCAAAATAGTTGTACTGGGGCTCTGTTAGGCCTATAGATCGTCATTAAGTCAGTGGAGAATGAGCCCAGAAAAACCCTGACAGTAAAGCCATTACTCTAGAGAGTTCCAGTGCTATGCAACCTGTAAGGCATCATCTATCAGCTGCTGATGAGACTCAAGGAGTTGGTGGTGGAATGACACAGGAGTTGAGTCCATTTTCTACTCTTCTTGGCAAGACAACTATGGTTCCAACGTAGGAACCTGAAATTAGGTCTTGTAAAATCCTTTAAGCTCCCAAAGCAAGCAAAATAAGACAAAGAGGAAAGGGCCAGGAACTAGGGCAGAGGAGGATTAAGTAGAACTGGAGGGAATGGAAACTTCTGGAATGGAAAGTAGCTGGGTTTAGAGGCCATCTGAGATGACAACATAATACAGGTAAAAGCAAATGGGGAAACAACTCAAACATTCAGTTATTCAGACACCAGAAGTGAAGTGAAATTTCTCCCTTTGTGGGGTAGGTAACTAGTTTTAAAAATACCAGAACAGTGAATCACTAACAAGGAAATGAGTACCTGAGTAGAAACTGGTGCTTCAAGATGCCAAGAAGAACTTATGATACAGAGGTGAGCTGAGTCTACAGGAAGAAGTGGTTACGGTAATCTGTTATGCAGATTTGATACTGGAATGACATTTCTAGCAATGGCTTTGTCCACGAGGTTCTGGCATATTTTTGTAGCACAGTTTTGAAGGAATGTTTTCATAACACTCGACTTATGTGGGAATGCAAATTACTGTAGTGTAAAAATTGAATGCCCCCTCCCCCAACCTATATCCAGCAGGGTGGAAGAAGTCCTGAAATAGCTGTGGTTAAAGGTCCAAGCCTTCCCACCGCCCTTGTGATAAAATTATGAAAGAAATTAGCTGAACAAGATGAATCAATGGGCCTTATACCAAGTAGACAGCAGATAATTTATGGTGACTTCTTCTGCAGGCAGCCTGAGAAACAGAAGAGCTTGTGTGCTAAATGCTGCCCTATCATTAAATATAATAATAATGGGGAAAAAAAGGGGAGGCCATTAAACAAGACCCTAAATAAGTCTAGCTGCCAACCAGATTGGGAAGATAAATAAAATAACATAGTTTATTTTAACCCCTATCTTCCACGCTAACCTAGTTTGTCTATAGAAAAGCCATCTGCTGGCACCAGGCCAGTGTGTCTTAATTTTGCTGTTATTGTTAGTATCTTGTTTTTCCAAAAGAGGAAGCGTGTGAGTTGCAGGTGTATTAAGTGACACGACATTTCTACAAAGCCTTCTCTGTAGTCTTGACCTGTGTGAGCACAGGTTCTACTCTTGGAAGTATTTTCGAAGGCAGAATAAAATGCGGACTTGAGGTTTTCTGCAGAGAGAGGACACCAGTAGAGTCGTGCGATCGATGAGTCTTTTGTTGGTGCTGAGCAAACGGTCTCTTCTCCAGCAAACGCCTGTGTTCACTCATATTTACAGGTTCCTTTTGGTGGGCACATGAAGTAACCGCCAAACCAAGAAATGGGGCAGAAGCAGTTTCTTCTCCAGTCCTATCTCCGATGATCAAGTGTCTTAGACACGGGTGACGCCTTAGGTGGGTGGGGCTGGACTGTGTCCCCCGGGTAGTTAGCGCAGGCTGCTGTCCAGACTCAGGCTGCTGGGAGCGCCGTGGCCTTTTCCTGCTTTTCCCTCTGCACTCACACTGCCAGGAATCTTCCTCCCCAGCTCTTGCAATCACAGTTCCTTTTGCTGGAAAACAGAGAAACCTAAGTGTGAAATAATCCTTGGATTTTGGATTATTTTATAACTTTTAACAAACACAAGAAACCCATCACCATATAATCAGTCCGATTTCCAAACAGATGAGAAGGGGCAGTTTTGTTCACATCTCTCCTCCTGTATCTTTTGCCGAGGGTAAAGAAGGGCAACTGTAAAGAGAATGATGTCAGTGAAGAACAGCAAAAGCTCCCGGTTGCATTTGAACGTCAATGCTCTCCATGCCGGGGTTTGCAACTGCAGCTTAGCTTTGCGCCCACCTCCTTCCCTTTCTCTCTTGACAGCTTTTGATTGACACCCCTGGGCAGAAAGAGCTTATACTATTATAAATGCATGAAAATGTTATCTAACAAGAAGAGGAAAGGCAAAAGGTAAAATGATGAAAGGAAACAAGTACACTGTACCTCAAAGGTTGATAAGCAACGGAGGCTGTAAAACAGCCAGCAGAAAGGAGCCTAAATTGAAGGGGTGAGCGAGCGACGAACAGGAGAAAAGAAAGGAAAGCAATTCTGGTGATTCTGAATGCAGCTCAAGGTTTTCTCTTGTTCTGCTGTAATTCTAGTGACTCCAGAATTACAATGGGGTTCAGTGATACGGGAACAATTTGAATGGGGGCAGGGAAGGGACACAAGCCACTCATCAACACACGGATGCACTTATACAGGGTGAAGTGGGGTGAAAGAAAACAAATAGGTCAAGATGGCATCCGGTCCTCTGTAAAAGAAGGAATGGCCTCCTCCCTCATTCCCAATACTGTGTGGAGGAACAAATTAGTTGACAGTTAGAAAAGTGAAAAGGAGCGGGTAAGATGAGTCATTTGCAGCCCACACTACAGGCAAAGTCAGCACAACTGGACTAAACCAAAAGCTAAGAACTTTCCTGAACACGACCAAACACTTCGAGAGACAGAGCAGCCAGGGCAGGGGTCTGGGGACCATGGTTTCAGGGGACATATAGATCAAGTAGCAAAACAAAGTTTATGAAGAAAATGTTCTGCATCTCACTTTGGTGAGTGGTGTCTGGGGTTTTAAAAGCTAGTGAGCAGCCAGCCATCTAAGATGCATCAATTGGTCCCAACCCACCTGGAATAAGGGAGAATGAAGACCACCACAGACAAAAGGAAAGTATTAGCCCAAGAGACAGAAAAGGCCACATAAGCCAGAGACTTCGTCAGCCTGACTGACACCAGAAGAACTAGATGGTGCCCAGCTACTACCAATGACTGCCTGGACAGGGAACACAACAGACAGTCACTGACAGAGTAGGAGAAAAGTGGGGTGCAGACTCAAACTCTAGTAAAAAAAACCAGACTTAATGGTTTGATTGAGACTGGAGGGACCCCGGAAGACATGGCCCCAGATTCTCTGTTAGCCCAAAACTAAAACCATTCCTGAGGCCAACTCTTAAAAGATTAGACTGGACTGTGGCACATTATGATACTCGTGAAGAGTGTGCTTCTTAGCTCAAGTAAATACATAGACTAAAAGAGCATCTCCTGTCTGGAGGTGAGATGAGAACGCAGAGAGAGTCAGGAGCTGGTAGAATGGACACGGGAAATCCAGGGTGGAAAGGAGGAGTGTGCTGTCACAGCAGAGGGAGAGTAACTAGGCTCACATAACAATCTATGTATAAATTTTTGTATTAGAGACTAACCTGAATTGTAAACTTTCACTTAAAGCACAATAATAAAAACAAAGAAGAAGATGAGTCATTTGTTTCCCCTCCTGTATGTGGCCATTGTCCTCTGGGGGGTAGCTCATTTCACTTGTGTTATCTCTGTTAGTCCCCCAATCCCCATTTCCTTTTAAAGCTGCTCCCCTTTTATATTTAGCTCTGCCAATCTCAGGCCTATGGTCCTCCGCCCTAAATTTTACTCACTGTGTCCTAGACAGGCACCCTGTTTTATTTTCCTTTTTGGTGCAAAGATTCAATTTAAAAACACATCCCTTCAGACATCTGCCCGAGTACAAGAAATTTTGGTAGTTGCCCACTCTACACACAGAGATCATTGCGAGAACAGGACGACATTTTAAATAACTTGAATTCTCTAGAGAAACGCAAGCAGAAGCGTGTAGCTTCTGCTTGTGCGGTGGGCACACTGTAGACTGCCCTAGGGCTGAGACCCTGGGCCCAGAGGACCCCGCGTGAAAGGCACCCTCAGAGTTCTCCCTGTCCCAGCCCCACCAGGTCATACGCTTATCGGCTGTAAAGTTGGTTTTTCAGACAAAACTTTTTGTTAACTGAGCAACGTCAGACTATGCTCCTTCAGGCCCAAATATTTTATTTCAACATTTCAGCTCTCAGATGAGTTGTTTCAGAAGCTCACTTGGTT